TCTTAAAGACGGCTTAAAGATGTCTTAAAGATGTCTTATGTTCCAATTTTGGACGTGTGTGCTGGGAAGAATCGCAGGTTGACATTGAAGCGAATACTTGCCAAATGCTTGGAGGATATGTTTGATAGTGTTAACGTACGTGCCAGATAGATTTTCCAATCTTTATAACGTATGTGGTAAATTACGTTAAAACTTCTACGTCGTACTTTAAATCCTAATTTTTAATATTAATACTCTAATTAACTATCCTTTACTACTACTACTAATTTACCTCCTTAATTACTAATTAACTCCCTAATCATTAATTATTTCCCTTAACTAATTAATCCTCTATATTATCCTATAATTAAACATTTTTTTACTCTACTTAAAATTGCGAAAAATACTGTCTCAGCCAAGAGTCGAACCGGAATCTCTTTACTTGCTCGCACCATATTAATTTGGCCATTGATACCTCGACTGAAACCTCAATAGCATTCTTCGCAACACAATGTTTATAAATCTTATTTAGACTGACATTACGTGCTATGTTTCAGTCAGCACAATTCGATATACACAGACTCTTGAAGTATACAACTTAAATTAAGTATGTTTTTATACAATTAAGAGCTGAACGCTGATGTTGGAGCGAATATTTGTTCAAAGTGTCGGAAGGATAAAGTTTTTCCTAATCTCAAACTATCCTGTTTCTTCCTTCAAGTATCCCGTCGAGTACGCCGGCTGCTCACAACTGGCTTTCTCGACGCACCTTGGCGCGGTAACCGAGATACATTCGGAAATGAATATTAAGGCTCCCAGTCGCGCTGTAAAGGAGAGCCCCGAGCGGTCCATAAACTAGCTCTCAAGCGGATGAGGAACGCCGTCGCGCGGTTCGTTACCCGCGAAACAAAAAGAATCCCGCCGACGCGGGCGAGAGCCGATATCCCCGTGGAAAGGCGGAACTCCGAAAAGTATGAAGTCGTCTGGCGAATGTTCGCGGACAGGCTCACAAGCGTAGCACCGGGGTGGTAGCAGCGGTAGCACGCGGTACACGGGACGGGATCTCCGTAGCTCATCCTGGCAGGTACTTTTATCTCCGCGGCGGGCGCGAGAATGTACTCACGAGGTATCCGGCGGCGGCGCATCCGGCGAAGCCGAGGACGAAGTGGCTGACGAGAACGGGAAAGCGAGAAAGAAAGGGAGGGACAACTATTCGTCGACGGGGCTGCCGGGTTTTCGGTCCCGCGGCGCTCGGCGTTATCTGTACGCCACGTAGGGGCGTCGACATTTAAAATGCAGATTAGAGAACGGAGGAGCGGGCGCAAACGCAGACGTAAACGTAAGAGCGCCCGGGTGGCAAGTGTTTTATTGGGGCCAGCTTCCGCTTCTATGCCTCCCCCACGGTGTCGGGGGCCGCCGCGCAATGCGGCGCGGCCGTTGCGATGCCAGGGCGCAGATAAAGTCAGCCTCCACCCTTGAGCTTTAACCGCCCGCTAATTTATTGATCCCTGATTTATTTGACGCGGCTGGCCGCCACAGCTTTAATTGCCCGCGAAGCGTTTGACGGATTTTAATAGGGCACGAGATAGCCTCCGCCGCACGGTGCTGACTTGATCGCCGCGGGGGCACGTCGCGGGGTTGCGTTCCGTGGGGTTTGCTGGTGTCGTTTAACAAATGGGCGCAGCGGAGGCGTCACTGCGACCCTCCAGCGTGACGGATTTCGAGAGGCAATGTTATCGTCTCCTCTATCGAAACCTCTATGACCATTATAATTTTTTTTTTCGCTTTCTTGATAAGAAGGTGACACAGCAAAAGGATAAAGCAAATCTCGATTATGAAATATGAATTCATAAGCAAATTTTAAATTATGAGTATATCTTACGTATAATCAAATTTTAATTTATAAATAATCTTATACAGGTTGTCCCGAAACTATCGGATGTTATTTTAATGGCAGATTCTTCAGAACATTTTAAAAAGAAAACTTTCATAAAATGTCGACGCTATAATAGTTTTCAAATGGAAAGTAATTATATTTCATCAATAATAGGGCTGAGATTTTGCGCGCTCAGGCACGCCGAAATGACAAGTGATAAAGATGTCATACGCCATATAGAATAGTGGACACCTTCATGATAATAATTGATCGACACTTTGACACGGATTAAGTTGAAATATGTTATTTTTACTTGAATCATATTTAAGATGTCTTACAACTATTATTCGTATAAAAAATATACTAATGCAATGCGTAGAGAAGCGGCAAAACATATTATGATAACGTTATTGTAAATTTATACAATGATCATAATATCGTATATTTATAAGAGCACCTTGTCATTTCGACGTGTCTGAGCGCGCGAAATCTCAACCCTGTTATTGGTGAAATATAATCGCTTCCCGTTTGAAAACTATTATACCCTCGACATTTTTGTATGAAAGTTTTCGTTTTAAAATGTTCTAAAGAATCTGCTATTAAGATAACATCCGGTAGTTTTGGGACACCCTGTATACATATTATAAAAATGTCTTCTAAAAATGTCTTCTAAAAATTGTTTCTGTTTAAAAGAAATTCACGAAAATTAGGAAATAATAACTATTGTAAACAGAAACCTTAAGACAATAATTACTTAAGACCTTAATTACTTTTTTACCACTTTAATTATTTTTTTACTAAACAGAACGTTTGGTGAAAAAATTATTGCTTTAAGATCACAGTGGCAAACAAACAAAATTAGACTAGACAAATGTAGATGTACGAGTATATAACTTTAAAATAAATCTTAAGACAATAATTACTTAAGGCCTTAATTATTTTTTTATCACTTTAATTACTTTTTTACTAAACAGAACGTTTGGTGAAAACATTATTACCTTAAGATCACAGTGGCAAACAAAAAATATTAGACTAGGAAAATGTAGATGCACGAGTATATACCTTTAAAATTAAAAATTTTGTAACTTTTAAAATTAAATGACATTATGAAGGGTTAATTTATCTAAACATTAGGATAGATTAGCGAAATTTTAACGTTTTTTTTGCTACATTTTGCATGAGTTGCGTCGAATTAGCTCTGAATTTGCTCTGAATATTCGGTTGATTAAAGAAACATTCTTCTACACGGCACATCGTATTTTGTGCATTTTTATTGTTGTAATAAATACTTTATTGTACTAAGTGCTTTATTGTTTACTTTATGTACTGCTTACTTATGTAATGTTTGTTCTTATCTAGGTAAAATTATAATGATTTTTCAGGTGAGTTTTAAGCATCTTTCTATCTTTTCAGAAAATTGTGTCCAGATAATTTGGCCTATATTGTTGCAAATATAAAAAATAGTGAAATATTTGCTTTCATGTAGTAGATACTTGCGTCAGTTTTGTTTGCAGCAAATTGCATTGAGTTTGAAATTGCATTGGGATTCGTTTATTATTAGGACAAAATGACAACAAATTTATATTCTTCGCAGAAATCGAATATCACACATATGAAATACACACACACTCTCCCTTTCTGTTGTTTTTCTTAATAAAGAATTTTAATTAAAAATATAGATATAATTTTATACTTCTATAATTTGCAATCTTCTTTTACAATTATATTTCAACACAAATGGTTTTAAAACAATAGGAAGTTATTTGCGATATATCATGTTTCATCTATATTTAAAACAAAAACATTTTTATTTAATTTAGAATGAATTTACATATTTTTTCATCTTATCTTTTTCTAGCTAATTTAAAAATTATCTAAGCACAATACAGTATATTAAACATAACTTCATTTTCAGTTTGTTTGCACGTATCTCTTAATGAGTCTATCAATTAAACATTTCTCCGTACGATATCTGATCGCACGTACAAGGTTTCATTTAGATGCATAATTTATAACGCGAAATTTGTGGGAAATCAACCGACCGCACGACAACGACGACGACTCTCAAATGCAGACACTTTCCCGCTCTCTCGATCTATGAAATTATCCGATCAATTAAAAGATAAATCCTTCTCTCTTGCCCCGTCCCGGCCGACTGGCCTTTCGTAAGCAATTACGAGCGGCTCCGCGGGTCGGCATCTGAATTAAAATACATCAAATTAATCGACTAGCCGGGCAAGACTCGGTGAGCGTAACGCGATTTACATATCTGTACAAGCTTGTTTGACTTTAAGTACCGCGGCAAGATCGATCCGGCCGTCCGAGTAGCACGCGACTGCGAGCAATTGCGCGCCGGGAACTCGATGAAAGTTTACACAAGCAATTGGCAACGGGAAGGGGATCCTTTCGCGACTTATCGAAGCCGAAGATCAAAGCGCGCTGGTAACTCAAGGCAAACCGTCGTCGCGATTCGAGGTAAACCAAGATCTCCGGAGATCCCGCCGCCGCGCTGTGAGCGTCTAATCCGACGAGCCGAGAGGTTTGTGGAGGTTTGCGGAGGGCTGTGTGTAAACGCGAGCTCGCGCAGGTGACAGTCGGTGGTGCCAAGGTGCTTGCCGAACTTGTCGAGTTCCGCGGCGTAACGAGCTTGTGAAGCGCGACCACCTTGCGGCACGATTATCGGCACTCTCTCGCGCACTGCGGCTCTTGAGGAACTCCAGCTCGATCCACCAGGATGGATCCGCTCCGCGAGATCTACGGAGTCTCCATACGGTGCGAAAATAAGCGACGATGCGATCTCTTCTCTTTCTCTTTTTCATGAAAAACCGGTCGCGAGATTTCTCATTTTGTAAAGCTCAAGTGCAAAAGACCCGGAGTTCTTTCATTTTTGCTTCCTATTACGTGAAATAAGTTGTGTTAACAGTAATTATTTCATGTTACCAGAGAAAATTTGCGTTTGAGTCTTGAGCAATGAGAAATTTTGTTACTAGAGTAATCAATTATGCTCGGAAGTATCATAAAATCTTATCAGAAAATTATAATAAAAAATCCTATTATATAGTATATATATATAGTTCTTAATGGCAACATACTTCAGATTGTTATTAAAATAACAATTTTAAAATGACAATTTCGCCATAAAAGCGAAGAAAGTATTATAAAATACTATCTCAAAATCTATCATATTCTCAGTTGAAACATTGTAAGGAATATTGCAGATTGGTGTTAATGTTAGTTGCTCAGGAGTCAATATTATTAGATAAAAATCAATAAATTAGAGGTAAATATATATTAGTATATTAGATAAAGATCATCTGATACACACACACACACGCGCGCGCGCGCACACACACACACACACATATATATATATATATATATATATATATATATAATTTAATTTTTGTCAGATTTTGTTTAGATTTTTACACCGTACGTCGATTAATTAAACCTTAATTTGAGTTTAAAATCTATTCAGACAAAGACTTAAACATAAGTTAAGGTTTAAGAGAATGCCGAAGTGGATGATGAACTTGAAAAATGCCTATAACAGAGGCGATCGTCACTAATACGATTAAACCATCCTTCTCGTATTTCTTGTATATAATATAAATATTATACGTATTTCTTGTATATAATATAAATATTATAGGATGTTCCAGAACAACTTTCGAAGCTCTCATGGAGACATAGTATGGATTAAGGTAAACAAAAGTCCTATACCATTTTGCGTGTTCGCAATAATTATCGAGATATTAATTAAAAAAGATTTGTGAATGATCACGCGAGATATGATAGATGAGCTATAATGGCGACATCTGCCGTCGTGTACGTCTACACTAAGTCAAATTAATCAAAGAAGTGCTCTACTTTTTTTCTAGTAATTTTGTAAATTTTTAATTATTAATTAGACAACATTTTTTAATATATTATCACGAACGAGCATTCACCAATTTTCTTTAATTAATAATTTGACATAAACTTTGCAGAAAAAAGGAGTGTTTTGTTTGGTAAAGTTTTCAAGTATGGCATTCCTTTAATTGACGTTGGTAGAAACGCGCATTATTCATACATTCCCTCAACTAGTAATTCATTTTCAACAGCGTTCGCCTTGGCTAAAAGCGCTTATATATTTTTCATTCCTCTGAAAAAATGAGCGAGGAATAATGTTGCGTTCATATTGAAATTATGACATGATTGCTTTACAAAGACACTTTGAAGAGCCAAGCTTTAGTATAAAATCGAGCTAGATGGACGTAGCTCAAACTTCATGTATCAATAACTTTCGATGATCGAAGAACGAGATTCACGGATCTCTCTAGAGATCCTCTAGAGTCCTAACATCACTGACTTTTTCCCTAATTTTGTCACTAAAGTAATCGAAAGTGACGTCTCTGCTCTCTATGTCCAAATAACCTTCACAAGAAACCTTTATTAGTACAATGGATGATGTTAAACGTAATAAACATGAATATTTGTTGTATATACGAAATTGTAGAAGGATAACAAGCGATTTTATACGGCAACTATGCCAATAAATCCTAGAACGAGCATTATGGATTGATATTACATATCATTATAACGAAAGTCGAAATTATTTAGCAGTAAGAGCACATGGCAATGCATGTTACATATAAATAACTCTTTCAAAATGTTTATTTTATTAACAAAACATTGTTACATGCAATTACTACATACAATTAATGATATGCAATTTCTGCTTTAAATAAAGACTCGTTCAAGCAGAGTTCTCTTATTTGAATAAACCTTTATTTCGCCACTTTCGATCATTTCAGAAACTAAAACAATCAAACAGCAGGACCGAGATATCGGGATTCTAACTAGAGTCTCAAGAATAATCCTTCGATCAGCAAGATATCTATGAGTGGCCTCCGATAGTTGAAACCGGACGTCGGTCCTCTTTTTCGCCTTTAACACCCAGATTCGTCTGTCTGTCTCTCCTCCGACGCGTCTCTCCGCTTCTCTTTCGTCTCGCGGAAGCCACGAGCGTTTGGCAGTTACATGAAATACGAGGGCGAATCTCACTGGATGCGCATTGTCCAGTCGTGCCGTTGAAACCAGAGCTAGTAACAATGGGGAGTGACCTCGGCTCGATTGTCCTTTAATTTACGGGAATTGCAAGCCCCCTACTCCGCCGCGGAGTACGGCTACGCTGCCTCCGCGAAAAGCACTCACGACCCATGGTCCCCTACAACCCTACGGCCCCTCCGGTACTCCCCCCCTTTCCCTGCTGCTCCTCTTGCCCCCCCCCCCTCCTCCCTTCTTGCTGCCTTGCACACGCGTGTCAGCCCCGTTGAGTGCGTGCGCGCGGGCGCGCGACACGAGCTTAATTCGATCTCCATAATCGCTCGAGCTTTACATAATCGGGGAGTGCTAATACCGATTGCCGCTACAACCGATTCCCGACATACTCCAGGCGCGATTAAGCGGCACGGATTACACCTGCGCGACGGCGCGACCCGCGCCCACACCTGGCACAACGTACACGAAACGCCGTGATTCGCGCCGTTATTGCCGGCCATGAATATTTCATAGCGCCGTTGCTTTCGACCCGGCGCCCCCGCGGAGGTGCCGTCGCGAGAAGATAATCGGTCGCTGATTAAAGCGATGATTGCATCGCGAGGAATCGCCGTGACGCCGCGCGTTTAACCAGCTGCGGGCGCGGAATTACACGCGTGTCGAGTAAACGGTGTGCGGAATGTCACCCAGCCGCGGCACAATCGCGAATATTAGAGTCCTAAATAATTAGAGGAGCGCAAGCAGCGTCTCGCTTGCTGACTGGCTGACTATGACATCGATCCATATCAGAAATGTTGGATCCAGTGGATTTAGTGTACTTATTGTGAATGGAAAAGAAAAAATTTGTAATGTTATTTTCTTTATAAAAAAAATGTCTTTTAAACATCCCTGAGATATGTTTGGGACATCATATATATATATATATATATATATATATATATATATATATATATATATATATATATATATGATGTGTGGTGCTATTTTTATTTATTTTTAAATATCCCAGACAACATAATGTCTAAAATCGGAACATAAGACGTCTTAAAGACATTTATACGTAAATCGTCTGAAAGACATCTTAAAAATTATCTTTAAGACGTCTTATGTCCCGATTTTAGACATTATGTTGTCTGGGATATGTCGATTGAGAATTGTATCGTATCTTTAAATATTTTTATAGGCTTACAAAATTTTTTGTCTTTGCAGAAATCATTATTTTGAATAATGATTTCTGCAAATTATCATGTGAATATCATGTGAATAAATATGATAAATAATAAATGTCATGTATATAAAGTATTTGGTTGTTCAGTAACGAAAGGAAAAGGAGCAATGCGAAACTGCAAAATATATGAAATATATAAAGGCTACTTTGTTTACAACGGTAACTGCGGGCCCAACATGACGACCATGACAGTCATGGAAGGGCTAACACTTTTCTGATTATTTAGATCTCTAGCGAATATAGGTTAATTGAGATATATTAAAGTAATTGTTCAAATGAATGTATTAGTTGCACGATACGAATATTTAATATCATTAACGAAATAAACGATACACAATTATATGAACTTAACTCCGCAATCTCTAATTCTCACGTTTCTCTAACGCCTCAATATTGATTTCTTATGACAACAATTTCTGTTTCGTACGCGTATCACACAAAGAAGAACTGTGCTCATGTTTCTTATACATAGGTTTGTCACAAGTTTTTGCCAGCGTCTCGCTACAGACGTAATTTAATTACCTGTCGATTTTTCTGGTATTATGCGAGCTATGTAGATCTTTTAGAATTCATGACCTTGCAAATTTGTTTTTAAAAAATTCCTTATTGAATGTAGAATGAGTTCTGAAATGTATCGGAAAGAAAATGCGTCAACTTTTCTATTTGCGATCGTAGGGGTCGAAAGGGAGGGAGGGGTAAAAAAATATTTTATTAGTCCAGGTAGAATTCTAAATGTCTCAGTTAAAATTTATCATTGCTTTTTGTACCTGCTAGAAAATTGTCTGTCACATGTGGATTGCACAAACCCATCAACATATTCTTTGGCATAGAGTCACCCCCTTTCAGATTGTACCACTAGTTCGGTGACATGCTGTATAAAGTAACGACACTTCTTCTCTCTCTGCAAGTCTTCACCGTGATAGAAGTGTGTATTTATTCGAGCGTGTCGCTGCAGTACGATATCTTCTCTGATTCGCGAATTCGGGAGACATTTGTTAGGGAGTTAGGCGGTTACCGTGAAGAATCATCGCACGGAAAGAAGCGGAACGACGAGTGCCGTGTAATGCGCGTAAGTGCAGCTGAGAGAGACAAAGACAGTCAGAGTGAGAGAGAGAGAGAAAGAGAGAGAAAGAGAGAGAAAAAGAAAGAGATGCCTCTTACGCGCGGAGCTCTCCGGCGTCGAACAATCGCTTTTGCACCCTTGGCGCGAAACGGAAAATGTATCTCGGTTGACAGAGCTCAAACAAAGGGTCGTCCCCGTCACGTTTCCTCCCCTTTCGCGTCGCTGCTCTCCTCTCTGTCCGCCTTGCTGCGTCTCTGTCCCCTCCCCGTTGTGCTGTCGTCCTCCTGTACCTTGTCCCGTTCCCTCTCGCGTGACATTAGCTCGGCAAATACCCGTTCTCGAACTGTCAAAGGATTAACGTCGCAGCGCGATCCTCTCGCATCCACCCTGGCGCTTGTAACGAGCAAAGTTCATGACGTGATTCCGTGGAAGCGGTCGGCCAGCAAAATCGCAGCCTGGAAATGGCTCCGGATGTCTTCATTCGGCATTCGCCGGGCTACCGTAAGAGTATCGGGATTGGATTGGATTTTGTAATTGGGCTTGACAAGGCGAACGGAGTAGCGGATATCGATATACCCATCTAGACTACATGTCGACGAAACTAATTTGGATATTGAGGGAGGGAGACTGTTACTTTGCACACCGTTGGAGTAATAATATTAGATCGTTATTAGGAGAAATAAAGTCAACGACTTGCCTTTTACACGATTGGAAGTTTATTTAGTCCTCTTAAGAGTCACGACCCAAAAGAATCCCCTTTGGGGATCAGGTTGATCCCATCCAGTTACTTAGTTTGTATAGGGTATCCGACAATTCGTTATGCAGCCGCAGTGTACACTTAAGTGTGAGAACTTATCAAACTCTATCACATATTCTCTATCAATCTGCAAACAACAACGTAAAGTTTCGAGTTATTAATCAGAGAAGATTGGTGAATGACCACTCATGATACATTAGATGAACTGTGATGGCGATGTTTGACGCCGTGTGATTGTACATTAGGTCAAGCTAAACAAAAAAGTCCTCTACCACTTTGCGAATGACTGCAGAGATTTTTTAATTATTAATTAAAGAAATATAATATATTAATTTTCTTTGATTAATAATTAAAAATCTATGTGGTTGTTTGCAAAATACTAGGAGGAATCTTTTGTTTAGTTTAACTTAATTTATACGAGAGTTTTGTATGTATCGTCAGACACCCTGTGTATACATACACTGAGAGAAAAATATATGATATTTGGAATTATAATGGCATAGTAAAAAGATCATAGTTAGGAATATAATTTTTATAGTAAATGTTACCATAATATTTGTAATATTTACAATATTAGCGTAATATAACTGACCCGTGTAAATATTTTTACCAAGAATTATAATTATTTGAAATAAAAAATAAAATAAGGTAGCAAATATTGAATGGTAAGAGAAATTAACTATTTTATATAGTCAATACAATTGGAATATTTGGCAAATATAGAAGCTTTACCAAAAGATGCTTTACCATATATATAGAGTAATAAGATGGTGATTATAAATCTGTGTTCATTCTACTATATCTTCATGTTTAGATGAACTATAAATATATGTTTGAGGCCAAAATAAATTATAAAATATAGTAAGATTATAGTTATTCCAACTATTTTTTTCTCTCAGTGTACATTGAATATACACATATATGGAATATATACATATATTCTATATTAAAAGCTTAAATATGTATATTTAAAGACCAAAACAATAAGAATGTCCAGATTTAGATACATGTTTAAACATTGGTACCTTTAGTTTACATAAAAAGAAAATAAAAATAAAAAATATATGCGAGGTGGTCCGTGGAAAGAGTTCCACAAATAAACTCTGGTTTATATATTAGTTCATTTCTATCGTCAATGTCGCAAGAGCAATTAACTCTTACAATTAGCGACAGCAATATTCGAGGTATTAACGATACAATCACGATTCTTTGCTCCGTGATCAAAATGTTCCTCTCTCTTTCTCTCTTTCTCTCTCTCTCTCTCTCTCTCTCTCTCTCTCTCTTTCATGAAATAAAGCGACGACGTATCGGGAAATTGTTCGATTGTCGCTGAGCGATAAGGGGTTGGGGGGAGAGAAAGGAGGCAGGCACACAGGCACCGAGGTATTTGAATTGAAAGCGAACGGCCTGCGTCGTTACTCCGCAGCGTATCAATCTCGATCGCCGACAGGTCGTTGCTTTTAATTGATATTAATTCTCGATAAGACCCGCGCGATTCCGAGCAATTTAATTAACATCGCTCGGAGGCGCGCAAGACAAACGGTTCGAGTGAACGGCCACTCGCCACTTGCACATTTCATTTCGAAGATACATTTTTCGCCGGTAAGCCGCCGCCGCTGCCGCCGCCGTTGGGACGAAGACAAATAACAAATGATGGCGCATCGCCGTCGCGTTTCCATCTACGGGTACCGGCGTCGCCGGGTCTTACTTTACCAAAGTAAACACCGGTTCGGTGTCGAGGAAAAGACGAGCGAAGAAGCTCGTTAAAAACTTTCCAAAGCCAGATACTACCACCACGACTGCCGCCGGCTTCGTTTGGGAATCCGCTGAGTCGAGATCTTCGATTACAAAGTCGTCCGGGACAGCCGCGTTTTCCGGAACGAATCACTCACCCTCCACCGGCGCCTTCGCGCGTCCGCAATCGCGCGACTTCGCGTCGAAATTCCGTCGCAATCGAGTTGGCGTAATTACAGAGAGACACGTTTGTAGTATCGTGAAGAAAAAGGAAATACTCGGCCTCTCCGTGTAACTTTGTGGTTTATATCGTTGGAAAAGATCTTACAAAGATCAACGAATCTTAGGCTAATGAAAAAAGTAAATAAAATATATAACTTTTCGGATGAATAATCAACAAGAAATAAAAAAGAAGTTGATAAATCACACTGCAAGATCTCAATTGCGAAACCTACTCAATCATTAAAATGAAATATAACATCACAGCTACTCTTATGCTGATTTTGAGGATTAGGGTATCCTTCCTTCCTTCAACCGATGCACGTGAATTTTACAACAACTTCAGTATATTAAATTACAAAATTAAAAAATGCATTGAGTTCTTATGACTGATCAGATTGCAAACAGGTTAATCACATAAAATGACAAAATAAAAATAGAATAACGAGAGAAATACAAAAACAATGATCAAAATTTATTCAGAACAATATGTCATGTTAAATGTAATATAAAAGTATGGATGTAACTTTTAGTAAATATGTTACTGCATCAATACAGTAAAAAATGATGTGAATTTAATAATTAATTCAATACACAGTATATTTGTCATAAGTGTAATTAAAAAAATTTTAAAGTTTTCATCATCCATTGTCTCCACGTGGTGATATCATAAAAGCCTCTATATCTGGATCTCTAAGTCTGGATCTCAGGAATCCTGCATTTCACATTGATGGCAATTCTAATATGATGTTATTTCCGAATTCTTTTCCACTAAAGAAAAAAAAAATTATGAAACG